GTTTTGAAAAGCTGACATAGTCAATGATACATACACTAAAGACAATTCCCTGACTATCAGTGTTGTGTAAGACGTCTATAAAGCAAGGACTGACAAGCACACGCTTGCAACTTATATAGAAATCGTGTAAACCCAAATTCACGGACAACACATGTAAACCTTAGAAGCGTCGATTACGGAAATAAGACGTTTATATGAAGTTGTGGCTAGAGTTAAAGAACCACAGAGCAGGAAAAGATTCAAATACTAAAGATATGTGCGCTCTACTTTCAGGAAAAGCGTCAAATACAAGGCAATCCGATGCGCTATGAATTGTTTTAACCACCTTGCCCGCAGCCTGACTCTGCACCCACCTAAAATCGCATGCCTGGAAAGTAGGGTTACCTGATTGTATCCCAAAATAATACCCATTACGTCGCTTGATTATCCTGGCTATCCTGGCCGAATTTGTGCCATCGTTACCACCACCCCCCCCCAACACACGCACGCATTGTGTCTGAGCAGCCGCGCTCCCCCTCCCCCTCCACTGTCAGGGCGGTGCGTCCTTACCCCCCCCCCAAACTAAACGAAAAACACCCGACACGCTACAGCTGACGTGAAATCGTATCCCCCAGACTTCCAGACTGCAAAATCAGAATACATTTAGTGGATTTCTACTTAGGTGAGAAGGAATATATTATGCCAAAGCATTACTGTAACTTTCATTGGAAAAGTTTTTGTTTTGCTCGGTGCTAAGAACGCTGTCTGGAATTCCCTTTCCTTTCTGAGTGATAGTTTATGGTGAATTTGGCCTCTTTTGCCTTTATTCTTCTCAACTAGTAGATAAGGGTACTTTTGACTGAAGTTGCCTCGCATTTTTGTAGGCAGAATCTTGCGTCACCACTGTAAACCACTCCCCATTCCCGCCTAGGCTGACCTTTAGAGTGCGCTAGATGCACTATCAGCAGCAAGTCGCTTATTTCTTCTTACCTTGGGTTCAAATTTTAGCAAGTGTATATGTTTGGCTTTACTGTTGTTTGTGTATTGTCGATGTCTTTGCTTTTATGGGCGTGTCCTGATGCGACATGCACCTGAATGTCGCTACTGATGCTATGCCTCATTTGCCAGCATACACGAAATGATCAGCATCGTTCAGATCTATCTCTTGCTGTCTATTCAGGTTTACATGCAAACAATCTCATACAGAACACATTAATGTACCCAACGGTACGAAAAAAACAATTAATTACCGTTTCCGACACGTCATAAGGGCAATTAAAGATATCTGTTGTACTTTTACTTCAACCTGCCAGGTGGCGCTGCTCAGATGAAAATTTTGACGCAACTTTATTGACCCGTTGCTTGGTAACGGAGTGACGTGAGACAAAATCTTTTTCAGAGATTGTTAGGGGATGTATATTCTTTAATTTAAGATACAATCTTAATAATCAATAGTTATTAAGGTCTCATACCGGAATTACTCCGCACGTGTAGGGTCTAAAAGAGTCCCGACAAAAAAATGATTGTGCCTGAACAGCGTGAGTTTAGGTCCACCATAAAATCCCTTTCATCACTCAGACCTGATCTAAAAAGGATTTGAGGTGAAAGCCTGTTTATTACTGACAGGATCAGGCAGGGAAGTTTCGGCGTCCGAGCGATTGTCGGACGTATACGCTTATTTTGACCTGAGTACTGCGGTCGGGCACAGTGAGCCAAAAGAGGGCCTCTTCCGGGTCATGGGTAATTGCAGTTATACATGACGTAAATATCGAACTAGCGGTTAGAATTGGGGAAAAATTTTTTTATCGTTTACATGATACGTGTGCTTGGTATAGACAGCAAAAAATCTGTTGATATACGATTTTTTGATTGGATTGACAGCCAAAATAGTGGCCTATTTTAACATGTAAGTCTACGGGACGGCGAAATTGGCGTATGAGACCAGAACAGCCTCAAAGGTTACACAAATCCTGCACAAAAATCGTCCAATTGTAGCTTCTTACCTCGATTTTTTCGGGCGCCTTGGCTGCCTGAGAGGCACACCTGATGTTTGTGCATGTTGTCGCAGCCCGCAGGACCCTTCCCGAGCACTGACCGACCCGTAACATCGTCAAACCGTCCTGACTTCGTCACTCCATCAACCTTTCACAAAACAAAATGGCGGACAGGCCGCGATTGACCTCTGACCTGAATAATTTTTTTTATTTACACCAAAAATGTGGATAGATATATCAAAAATTTTCTAATAATCATATCTTTGTTGTGATACTTTGCTATGTGGAGAAGTATTTGTTATGATTTAGCATTTTTTGTAAGAAAAGTTTGTTAACAGACGTGATTGACCTCTGACCTAAATAATTTTTTATTTACACAAAAAATGTGGATAGAAATATCAATAACATTCTAATAATTGTATTTTTTGTTGTGATATTTCCCTATATTGAGAAGTTTTTGTCATAATTTAGCATTTTTTGTAAGAAAAGTTTGTTTGTATAACATTGCGCATGCGCATCGTTAGCATTTTTGACAGAACCCGGAAGCAGTTTGTTTATGGCAACGCGCGTTTTTCGAGTGTGTGAGAATATTTGAGTTTAGGGATCATTTGTAAATCATACTTCACACTAAATCACTCAAAAACCGGTTGGCACAGTAGGGGAAAACTATGCCGAATGAGGTCAGTTTATTGTGTTTTTGTGCTTTGTTTTTAGTGTTTTGTTGACTTAAAATTTATGACTGTCCTTGGCTTGGTCATGCAGGTTCAGAATCAGATTCTGAAAATAACAAATAACTTATATACCTTTTGATACATATTTACCTCAAGTAATAGGTTAGAAGGTACCCTTTTTAGGTGCAGCAGCAGCAGGACGAATTCAGTTGAAGAAGATATAACAAGTAAAGTTGTTAAATTATGTTACATTTGTCTATGTTTAGGTAAACAAATATGCTTGACAGACAATTCAAACTCTACTACTTACTACTAGTAAGTTAAACGTTACTTGGATAGTAAATACATGGACGTTTGGACGTTTTGAGTGATAGCCATCGCTCTTCTATACTTGCTTTAAGCTAGCATATAGGATTTTGTAGTGATGCTGAAAAAGAGCAAAATTATTATATAATCTGTGTTAATTACTCCGTGAAGGAGGTCAGGACCTCCGGACGGAGTGTTGTAATCGGCTGATTTTTCATGTTCGCAGTCAAAACACTGGGTTCTCTTTGTGTAATCGGCACGCAATTTTATACGCCGTCTGCGGGCATGCCCGTGTTGATGCACGAATGTGTATTTTTGCCGTTGCTGCTTTCGCGGTCCATGTAATATCGCAGACGCACCCCTACAATTACGAGGCGAATTGGAATGGTCCAGAAAAACGCGTTGTTTGGAATAGCAGTGGGGTTCAAAAAAGTTCATGCAGATACGGGGTGGTTTTTATAAGTGGTTCCAGATGTTTTTGCCCATGGTTAAGAGATGCCAAGTTTTTGGAAGATGTTCGCAGCCAAAACGCATTCTTCCGTACGTCGCATTTCTGTGTAATTTCGCATGTGGTGTTGCATTATGTCCGGGATGATGCACGTCTTTTATTTTTACCGTAGCTGTTTTGATATTGGAGTAAATGCTTATTTTCGAAACATCCCCATTTCTTTGAAATGGTTTCGTCCGTTTATGCAACTGTTACTGCGCTAATGACGACCAGTCGCGCTGTCCTGATACACCGCGAATGTGCGAGTGTTCCCTGTAGACAGTCCCGGGAGTCATTTTTTGCACATTCCAGGAGCCAAACCAAAATACGTTCATGAACCGAGTCCAAAAAACCGAAACGTGAAAATCGGATGATCGGACCTGATGTACATTTCTCTTTCTATAGATTGTACACACAATACACACATCTTTAGATAATCTGGCCATGGCAGGTTTAAAAAAAAGTAACCCTGAATCATACTAGATTAGCGTAAATGCATGTTAATGCGTTCAAAACAAGAAAAAAATTGTTTCCGGGTATTAATCTCTTGAATCACGGCGCTGAATATTGACGCAAAAATATTTCGGGCATCGCGCGCCCTTCCCGCGTCACGTGTAGGCATCTCGCATCTCTGATTGGTTGTTGCGTCTTAAGATGACTGAGCCGACGCGCGTTTAAACAATTTTTCTTTGTTCGATTTATCACACTTCACAGAGAATTGTCGCCAATGGCTACTTCTTTTTGTTGCAATATATAATACTTCACGGAGAATTGTCGCCTATGGCTTCTTGTTTTTTTTATTTTTATACCTACCATTATTATTATATACATGTATATGCAACTCTTCTTGGGTAGGCATAATCAGGCCTTTTTAGACTTCGTAATTCGAAGGCAGCCTCCGCAAAAGTCAACGTAATTCGTAGCCACAAATCATAAAGTTGTAATCAGCTCTGTAACTTCATAATCGGCGGCAAAAATTTTGCGTTATTCGTAATCACCACACACACCCCATGCAGGCACTCATTAATACTCTCTACTGCTGGACAAAATACGAAGATTACTTCATTCATTTTAAAGCCCATTTGATAGTCATCACTTTAGCTATACTAGAACACCTGTATCGACCATTTTTGCGACCCAGGTATAACAATGACACATACACGTGTTTCCCACCCCTGCCAGGTGTTATGTTACC